AAGAAAACTGCAACTACTCGTGAAACCATACATTAAAAGCAATGTAGATGAAAGTAATAAATATTATTATTACAATTCGAGCCATATATAAAACACTTAACACCATTTATTTGAAGTAAATCGGAATATATTTTTACATATAACATAGTTTCTATTTAACTCATAAAGTACATATTTCACTAAAAATATTTTTAAGATCACTTCGAATTGCAAATATAGCGCTAATTAGTCGTATTCAAGTACAAAATATTTTATTACGTTCATGTTTATTTATAAAGCGCATAACAATATATCTGTTGCCATTTATCCGATGCATAAAGTTTTTCACCACATTAATTTGCTGCACACCACCCTGAAGGTGGCAAAACAGTTCCTCGCAACCCTCAAGTCCTTTATGGGGACCAAATTAACAGCCGCAACAACAAAAACCTTTTCTACTGGTATACTGTGATGTAAAATCTCTCGAGCGGCGTTTTGACAAAATGGCCGAGTCTAGCTCGCGCTCTGTTCGCTTTCTTTTCCTTTTTTTCTATTCAACTTTGCTAGGACTATTAAACATACCACTAACGTAATAACCGGTTTACATCTGATCTTACTTAAGGGTAATATCATTACAACATAATATCCGGTTTACATCTGATCTTACTTAAAACTAATATCATTACATCTCGGCCAACCTGATTTTTTTGATTGACCCCAATCAAGGTGTGGGGGTTATGTTTCCGAATCTACAGCTCGGGGTAAGGGTGGCTTGCTGGCTTCAGTGACGGAGTTACTTTCGGGGTGGGCGACAGTTAAGAGCCATCTACGGATTTTCAGTGCTTCAACAATTCCATCATATGGCAGTTGCGTTAGCTGGCAGTTATCGATATCCCTGATCACATAGCGATCGTTCGGCAGGACCTTGTGTACAACATAAGGCCCGCGATACTTTTGCACAAACTTCTTATTTGTCCCTACCGAAGTATCTACGTGTCTTATAACAACAAAGTCTCCAGCTGAATAGGTTTTTGCCGGAACACTGTGTTTAAGGAAGTATTCTGAGTTATATTTCTGTGATTTCTCTATCTGACCCAGGGCATTCTCCCTGGTCTCATTTATATCGCGGTATGTGCCATCGAGGAACTTATCTTCCAGGTATTCCGTCATCTCGTCAACTACACAACCCCGTTGGTTAGCACCAAAGAGTAATTCACTTGGCGTACACCGCGTTGTATAATGAACCGTGCTGTTTAGTGCATATTCTACTTGCGACAACTTTTTCGTCCAGTCCGAATGTTGTATTGGTTCAGTTTGTTTACTAAGCATGGCTTTCAGTACACGGTTTACCTTTTCCACCTGACCGTTTGCCTGCGGAGACGCAGTTGCAACCTTTACGTGACTAACGTTATTTTTTTAGTAAGAAATCGCTAAATTCGTATGAGGTGAAGCAGGTTCC